TTTGTTTATATGTTGTCAAATGGTGTTATGAGTCTTAAATAGTGCTAATTGTGAATTATTTGCGTTGTTATACTTCAAACTGTTGTTTTTATTAATGTTAGAAATAGTGTAAAATCTGTTGTTCTAACCCAAACTGACATTTTGTTGGCAATACAATGTAAAATTGTCAATGCTTTCAAATTTTTTATGTAGAAAAGGCTTGTGTTGTCAACATAGTTACTAAATTTTTGACTTGGGGAATTATCTTTAAAAAAAAACAGACTTTATGTAAATAGTGTATGTTGAATAGTAGCAAATAGTTCTAAAAAACGCTAAGAAGACACAACAATATCTTTCACCAAGTTCTTCGTCTTATTGTTTCGAAATAAGAAGTGAATTACCATCTTCTATCGCTACTTCATCTGTAGTGAACTGTTACTTTTGCGGAAATCCCAGACAAATGTCCTGCTCGAAACGCAACGTGCCAAAACTGTCAAAAATTAGGGCATTTTGCAAAAGTTTGTTCAAAGTCTAAACATTGAAATCAAAACCTACTTCAGCCTCCACCTCGGTCTCCACTTATATGATGGCTTATGGCTTCTGCTTCAACAGTTCATCCACGCTTATCAACAGCAAGTCTTGAAGCAAAAATAAACGGCAGTAGCGCTCATGCTCTAATAGATACTGGAAGTTCCGATAGTTTCCTGGATTATAATTTTGACATTAAATCAAACGAACTTACCTTGGGTAGGTTCGGCTTGTTCACTCCGTGCACTCCGAGTGACTCCATTCGCACTCCAGCCGTTCGCGTTAAGGTTCGGGTGGTATTCGGGCCTATGATGTATCCATTCCTGTTATTTTAACAGCTATGTTATAGCTCAACATCTATACGTCTCTCTATTTTAATGTATAGAATAAACAGTGACAGACAACTTAACGTTGCTGTTGAAATAACAGAAAATGATACATCATAGGCCTGATTGCTTTTTACCGTATTAGGGGTGACTCCATTAGCTCTGTTCACTCCACTCCAACTCCGCGCTGAATAGCCGAACCCAGCTCTTGTAAGTGATATTGTTCGATTTATATTTTATAAACGCCTCTTAATAGAAATCAATACGTAGTCCTTTCTCTAGTCACTAGGTGGCCCACAACTTTAAAGCAGCAAGTCAAAAGTTGTACTATCATCACTCACCCTAATGTAGCCATGGTACCCGTAATCCGATACGTCATTGCCATTCTTGTTTAAAGCTCCAACAACAAAAAACAAAAATTGCCTATACAGGGAGAATGAAATGGGAGGGTGGGTGATTTCTATGAAGAGGCGTTTATAAAATATAAATCGAACGATGTCACTTACAAGGTAAGTTCGTTTGATTTATTAATTTTATGTCACGCCTCTTCTACGAAATCAAACGTAGATGTTTAAAGTAAAGCACATTTTTATTTTGTTGTAAATTTATTCGGTTATAACTAGGTAGGTACAATATACAATTCATAGAAGCTAACTCAATACAAGTAATGCAACTGCTAGAACTAATATATAGGTATATAAGTAGTGCCAAACACATAAATTAGATAGCAAAAAAGAAAATCCGAATAATCGGATAACCATACAGAGCAGACTGCATTAGCGAAAATAAACTTGTCTCTGACAGAAGATAGTTTATTATAAAAAGCACCAAATACTTAAGACTTATCTGACCAACCGGCCGTCTTATGATGGTTTTACACCAAACCAACTAGTTGAGTTGCTATTTTGTTGTTGTTGTTTCAAAAAACAAAAACTCAACTGTTTTTAACGATAAAACTATTCACACTAAACAGACAAAAATTAGTTGCTGTTGAGTTTTTGTTTTATGTCGTTTAGAGAAAAAGTTGATAAAAATAATAAATAACCTTGCCATGACTAGATAAACACACAGCTCGCCGCAACTCAAGTTGATAACACAGCCGTTTACACCAAGCCGACTGAGTTGCAACAAACGCAGCAACTCTTTGAAGTTACCGACATCGATCGGGAAACGAAAAACAAAACAGCAACTGTTGAGTTGCCGAAAAATCTCCAAAAAATCTGGAAAAAGTTGTATTTTTGTTTTTTTCAACTCGAATTGCTGTTTTGTTGGTTTGGTGTAATCCGCTTTTACGGATCACATCAACTGAAACTCCTTTACTCAATGCCAGAGACGTACTGGCATGTCGCGTGCTATGTGCAGTGTATACTGACGTGTCTATACTACTAGAACCTAAGACTAACCTAATCCAACGGCTAATAGTTGGGGGAGACGCCGCCGCTCTATGAGGTTTATTAAACGTAATGAGAAGTCGAGACTCATGTTTTCTGAAAAATCTTTGTTTTACCCAAATAACATTCTAGGACTGTTGAAACACATAATTCTGGTACAGTTTCAAACTTTGGCAAAATTAAAGTACATATTATAGGTTGAATTTTATTCAGCGCTGACATCTTGATTTGGTCTTAAATTTTGATTTCCAATCTATTGGCAATAAACTTTATATTCTCTATTTTGATCAAAGAAAAGGTCTGCACTCTATGAGCAGTGACCAGAGCAAGCAATGTTACCAACTTGAGAATCAAATCCTTTAAGGATAAAGAGTCATTTGGGTAAAAGCCTTTCAGGTAATCAAGAACACAGGTCGGGTCCCAAGTACACTCATATTTTGGTTTACTAGGACGAAGATTGTAAACCCCCTTAAAAAATCCATTTATACTAATATCGTTAACTACGTTTGAGCCAAAAACCAGACTTAAAGCAGCCCGAAAGTTATTGAGAGAACCATAAAATGAACAGTAAAAAATTCTAACACTAAAGATTAAGATACAGATGCAGAATATACATCAACATTTTTTAGTTGACAAAATTTCCACCATCATCTATAATATGCAGTATTATATTATTTTATTGTTGAACTTCGGACAGATGAATAAAGGATATCCATGGAGCCCTCGGGAATATTCCTCAGCTGAAATGCTGACAAAACCCCTGCTGCCAGAAGCTTCTGCCATAATGGATGGGGTTGCCTGTCAATAGATATAAGTAGTTTTTTATCAGGTTCAAAAATTATCAATTCAGATATCAACACATTATCAAACATCGGAAACCAAGGTTGGCCTTGCCAGAATGGAATTACCACAATCCCTGTAGCGGAATCATTATTGATTTTCCTCAGTAGTCTAGGGAGCAAACAAAACGGGGGAAAAGCATAAAAGACAGAATCTGACCAAGAAATAGTGAAGGCATCTACATTTGCAGCCTCTGGGTCAGGCAGCCAGGAAATGAATCTTGAGCATTTATTATTGAGCCGAGTAGCAAATAAGTCAACTTCTCGAATACCAAACTTCTGAACGCTTTTAGAAAAACATAGACTGGAAAGCTCCCACTCATTCTCAAAGTTGCTAGTCCTGGATTCTTGGTCAGCCTCAAAATTATCTGAAGAACTTATGTATGAAGCGAAAACTCAAATCCTTCTCTCTTCACACCATGCCCAAAGCTCCCTCGCAATATTATGCAATATGGGATACTGCACTTCCCATATTCTACATATTAACAGGAAATAGCTGTAGTATTGTCAATACGAAGCAAAATTTCACAGTCACTTAAATCTGAAGCAAAGCACTTGATTCCAAAGAAAGCAGCTTTCAATTCAAGTGCATTTATATGTAATTTAGCTTCATCAGGATTCCAAAAACCCCTTGAAGTCTTTCCTTGACAAGCTAAGCCCCAGGTCACTGGAGTACTATCTGAAAAAATCTCTAACGAAAAACAATGTTGCCTTATTGGAGAAGAGTGTTTCCAAAATTTTGAACCACCATCTGAAGTCAACAATAAGATCTTTAGAAAGAGTCAATGAACTATCATAATCATTATTATTATAGGAGTTTTGCAAAGCAAGAAACTTTGCCCTCTCAAATAATTTAATATGCACCCAGCCATATGCTGGACATATTGAAACCAGGACTCCACATAATTGGGTAAAATCTCTAATCTTACAAGACCTGAATTTATAAAAACTATTCTACACTTGTCATCTGGAAGGCTCATGGTCATAAGCTCCGAGTTAAAAATAAAACGTAAAAACTTGCAAGACTTATACGGAACTAAAACACTCTTCTTAATATTTATGACAAACCCCAATTCTTGTAAAATATTACAAGTTTTCTGAACATTTTTTAAACAGCTACTGTAGGTACTGCCAACAAGCCAAAAATCATCTAAATACACAACTGATAAGTAACCTTCGGCTCGAAGAAATGAAACGATAGGTTTTAAAAGTTAGTAAACACCCAAGGTGCTGTACAGAGCTCAAAGGGAAGTACTTACATTAAATTGATACAATTTAGAATCAAATACGAAACGTAAGTATTTTCGATGCTCCTTTGCAATAGGAATAAGAAAGTAAGCTACTTAGCTTCTTTCAAATCTATTGTTGCCATATAGCAATCTTTTGAAAGAATGGTTTCAGCAACTTTCCGGTCTTCAAGCTTAAAATGGCAGGGGCCAATAAAACAATTTAATTGTTTCAAATTGAGAACCAACCTTAAACTGCCATCTGACTTCGGAACTAGAAAAATTTTCGAAATAAACTGTCCATTACTGGGCTGACACTTGGATACAGCCCGAATATCACACAAGTGTTTAACCGCCTGTGTCATATTCAGTTTTTCTTTTTGTGCATAAATTGGTTCCCTGGGAACCAAATGTTGCAACACTGGCCTAGAAAAAGGGATAGTATAGCCCTCCAACCAAGAAAGAAGCAGAGGATCACAGGTATATCTTAACCAAAATGACTTAAATGCAGATAATCTTCCTCCAAACTCTGACTTACTACTTGTTGAACTTCCTCGGAGGGAACTTACTGCCCCTCTCTCTTTCCCTCCTCTCTTTTTCCTTTGGGAATCGAGATTCCTGATAGTACCTGTTTTGCCCACTCCGGCGTTGAGGTTTGTATTTCTTTTGTCGAAGTGGGCCCAAGGAGTTTAGGTTATGGGCCTTGAGGGTCTATGGTGCATACTTCGGTTTGGAAGAGCCAGCCTTAAGATCAGCTACTGACTTGCCAATAGATTTGGCCGTTTTGATTCGCTCACCTAAATCTTCTCCGAACACATAAGTGTCCAAAGGAGCTTCAGCCAATGCCTCTTTAAGTTCGGGCTTAAGATTATTGGAATTCAGAGAAAAACTTAGAATAGAAGATTTTCTATACTCAGAATCAGTGTTGTGTATTTTATACAGTAGAGATGTTGTATCTCCCAAATGTTCAATTAAACTCAATGTCTCTTCGTCTTTATCTGGACGATTCAATAGAATTGACTGGGCCCTTGCTTCTACCGTCAAGGCGATATCAACCTCTTTTTGACGAGAAATTAATCTCTTATCTCTTATCTCTCTTACGACCAGCTTCATTTAGAGCAGCTCTGATTTCAGCATTCAGCTTGGGAGGAACAACAAAAGGGCAATTCTCTGGTGTTCAATATTTTGCCAACGTCTCGTTCAACTGATCCTCAGACAATCCCGTTTTCAATAATAAACCACAATGATTGGCTAGAATATCATGTAGTGGTTCTCCCACTAACGTTTGCTTTTTGCGGTTTGCACCCATAGCACTTAAAACCCTCTGATCGAGGTCTGTTTGAAGAGGATCCACGACCTCTGGTGCATTAGAAGTGGATAAACCTAAAATCAACCAGATATAGTTACTTACACATCAATCTGGCATCATTCTTGGAAAACAAACGACATATTTATCAGTAACCAAGACAAACATGATATAACCAATAACCTTGGTTGGCCCCTGAGCAAATAGATAACCTCTAAATGCTCTTACAATCAACAAATTGTGTATCCACCACAAGGGGACTTCGGGATCCCAAATTCTTTGGGGAACTCGTCCCTGACTGGGATGATGCTGATGATGAAGAGTATCTGCGCCTCCTGCTAGCCATCGAGTTGGATCTAGATCTAGATCGTCGCAAACGGCCGCGGTACTTCCGGTCATTATACTTGCGTCGTAATTTTTCAATTTTCCGCCTCAGAAATTTGCCCTCGCTAGAAGAAGAAGAAGAAGAGAAAATACTTCTGGAACGTTTTCCCGTCATTTAGCAACCGAATAATAAGGATTAATAACAATTTTGTTGAGAAAATAAATTTATGATACGCCACCTTAGCACGTGGTTAGCACAAAGAAAAAGAATGATAATGACGTATCGGATTACGGGTACCATGGCTACATTAGGGTGAGTGATGATAGTACAACTTTTGACTTGCTGCTTTAAAGTTATGCGCCACCTAGTGACTAGAGAAAGGACTACGTATTGATTTCGTAGAAGAGGCGTAACATAAAATCAAAATCAATCCTAGCCAAGGTCAAGTTTTAATGGCGACTTCAACTTGTTTTTCTCCTATTAAAGGTTACTGCTTAGTCGACATTGATTTGTTGGAGTCAACATACAGGAATCACAAAATATCTGTACTTTCTAATCTGTGTGCCGATCTTGTAATTGGTCATGATATCATGAAACAACACTGTCGTGTAGAAGTTCAGTTTGGAGGGGACAAACGTCTCTTATCAATTTGCTGTTTGATGGAAGCAAAAGTTGAACCGCCATCCTTATTTTCAAACCTCACTACAAATTGTAGACCTATGATTACCAAATCACGCAGTCACTCAGATGAGGATGAACATTTTATAAAGCAGGAAATCAAGAATATTTTGGAAGAAAATATTATTTAAGAAAGCAATTCTCCCTGGCGAGCTCAAGTCTTAGTCACTCACAATGAAAATCGCAAACGACGTATGTGTATAGATTATTCACAGACCATTAACAAATTTACTCTACCTATCCGCTTCCTAAAATTGAAACATTAGTCAATAGGATTTCAAAATATGAAGTTTTTAGCACAATTGATTTGAAAAGTGCCTATCATCAGATACCCATCAAAGAACAGGATAAACCATACACTGCATTCGAAGCTTCTGGTAAGTTGTATCAGTTCCGAAGAATACCTTTTGGTGTAACAAATGGAGTTGCTTGCTTTCAAAGGGTAATTGACCTAATAATTTCAGAAGAAAAATTGACAGGCATTGATGCTTATTTGGATGATGTAACCGTATGTCGCGAAAATCAAGAGAAACATGATCAACATTTGAAGACATTTCTAGAAGCCGACAGAAAACGTGGACTTACACTGAATCAAAATAAATCTTCATATGCTCAAAAATCAATCAATATCTTTAGGCTACACTATAGAAAACAGATCTATTAAACCCGATCTGAACAGACTTTCGCCACTTTTGAACTTACTGGTAGCCAAGAGCACAAGTGAACTTCAGAGAGTACTAGGAATGTTCTCCGATTATTCCAAATGGATACAGAATTTTTCAAAGAAAATCAGAAATCTCGTCAGTAGGGATGTGTAGTACATGAACGAACTAGTACAATTGTACTGATCCTTTAAATGTACTATATGTACTAGTACCATAACATTAGAGTCCCATAATATTACAGTACATTCTTTTCATCGAAATACATAGAAAAAATTATAATAAACAAGTTTAAAACAGATGTAAGACAAAAATCTATGAGCACGGAATGTGAAGAAACCTATCTAACCGACAGGTTTAACCAAAAACACTTCTTCTTCTTCTCTAATTTTGGCGCTGCTCCTCTATGGGCAATTTGCCAGCACATTCGGGGCAGAGTGACCTTGTCTGGCTTTTCACCATGTCATCCCTGCGGATTTCGAATCATGAATAAAAGCATGAATAAACATTGACTGTGGAAAAAATAACCGCCGCCGGGGTTGGTTACCCGGTCTTGGTTTTGTGATTTTGTGATTTGCTGTGTGTTTGTGTTCTTATGTGAGGTGTTATATGAACAAAACAACATGAAAACAAAATAACATGTACAAAAACATATATCAGACAACTACAGGAAACAGACAACACTCTCGACATTAGCTTGCTTTGTTTCATAGTTTAATTTTATTATATATTAGAAACTTCAATAAAATTTTAATTCTTTTTTCTGAAAGACTTGACAAAATAATGGAAATGTTAAGGGGCGGTTGAAGACCGGAGATGATCATTTCTTGATAAATGTCATAGTTAGGGATAAAATTAATTGGGCATTCTAGAAAAATATGATCCAACGATTCTACCAAACCACATTCACAATTGGGTTCTTCCTTCATATTAATTTTATATAAGTGAGAGGATGTTAAACAATGCCCTGTGCGCATTCTTATGATTGTTGTAATGTGTTTACGGTCAACAAATTCAAATTCGTTGAACCATTTCTTTTTGGGGAAAGAGGAGACTATTCGTGAATACCAGATGCCTTTAAACTTCAATGTGTTTTGCCAAAACTTATTGTGTTTTTCCCTAACTACATCCCTAATAATGTTTACAACTTCTGATCTGTCCAATTCCACTTTCAATGGGACATTCAGACTTGCTCCTATTTTAGCTAATTTATCCACCGTTTCATTGCCTTCTATCTGAGCGTGACCTGGGATCCAGGACACCATTATATTTGAACCATTACTGTTAGCTATTAAAATAAGCCTTTTAGTTTTTAGAGATAAGTAATCTCGGGTTGGGTGTAAATCATTATTATTAATTTTTGCAATAGCTGCTTGAGAGTCGGAAAAAATAATGACATTCTTGATACCCTTTTTTAGGATTACCTTTATAGCCTCATAAATAGCACATAATTCCGCTGAGCAAATGCAAAGTTCATTTGGAAGTCGACATGAAAAATTATATTTAATTTGTGGAATGTGTATACCAAATCCAACCCTTGAATGATTTTTTGACGCATCTGTGTAAACAAAAGTATGTGAATTTCTAAATTGTGATGTTGCAGATAGGAAGTTTGGATTTTGGGAAGTTTCTTCTTTCTTTAAATCTAATTTAATTATTTTGATTGGGTTGATTAAGAATTCATCTCTTATTTCAAAAATAGGGTAATGGGTTGATTTATATAATGTTCTGACTTGAGGAAGGAAATAGTTAGATGCCTGTATTAGATATGGAGCCTCCTTATTTTTCCAGAAATTTACATTTTTGGCACATATCTTTCTCAACCGTTGAATTAAATGGATTAATGGATGGTTATCAATTACTAAGATCTTACTCAAGAAATTAGTGGCCAGAAGTTTTCTACGGTGTTCTAGATCCATTTCTGTAGCTTCTGCTAAAAGTGTATTTGTGGGAGTGGATCTCATGCATCCCAGAGCCACTCTCAAACTCTGCATCTGAACTGTATCCAATTTTTTTAGGTAGGCGTTACTACATGGTTTAATGAAGATTGAGGCATAGTCTAAGTGGGATTTGATAAGGCCGTTATGGACCATCAAAAGAGTTTTGGGGTCTGCACCCCACCATACTCTGCAGAAGGATTTCATAACATTTATTCCTTTTTGAGTTTTTGCAATCAAGTAGTCAATGTATTTGTGCCATTTCAGGTTTTTATGTAAAAAAATACCTAGGTATTTAATTTCATTTTTAAAATTTACATTGACATCATTTATTACTATTGTGGGAAGATTTATCAGCCTCGGATTTTTAGTGAAAAAAATGAGTTCGCATTTTGTAGTTGAAAGAATTAAATTGTGGTCTCTTAACCACTCAGTCAAAACATTCAAAGTATCATTCATAATTTCCGACATTTCGAACGGATTTTTTCCCTTAATATAAATAACCAAATCGTCCGCATAGCCAATTATCTTAACTCTGGGGGGAGTTAAAAAGAATATATCTTTAATGTAAATATTAAAGAGTAAGGTACTCGAGGGTGATCCCTGCGGAATACCTGTATTAACTAATGAGGGGCCCAAAAATTCTCCATTTCTATTTTTTGAAAAAAGTATGCGGTCAGATAAAATTTTGAGAATTAAATTTGTGAGTTCAATTGGAATTTTGGCTTCTAGTAATTTGTTATAAAGTTTAAAAATGTTTACGTGATCATAGGCAGCCTTGATATCAAGAAAAACAGCAAGTATTGAGAGATTCTCCCCAAATGCTAAATTGATCTCTGTTATTAGAAGGGCTTGGGAATTTTGAGTACCTTGGCCTTTTGTAAAGCCCGTTTGAGTCCATGGAAAGTACATTTTGTTTTCCAGGAACCATTCAATCTTATTTTTAATTATAATTTCTAGGGTTTTCAGTAAACATGAAGAAAGTACGATAGGTCGGTAGCTATCTAGCAATAGAGGATTTTTGTTTGGTTTCAAGAGGAAAAAAATGTTACCTATATTGTTTCCAAGATTGTGGAATATGTCCCCCTAATAAAATTTGGTTATATATTCCAAGAAGGCTCAATTGAAGTTTAGCAGGAATGTTTTTCAGCACTAGGTAGGAAATCTCGTCCATTCCTGTCGCTGAGTGTTTTTTATTTTTGATAGCCGTTTGTAATTCTTCAATCGTGAATAGTTTGATTTCGTTCTGCAACGACAGTTGGGGTGTAAAATCAACACTCGCTGATGTTATTGCCATGTTATCAAGAAGATTCTGCCGTAAACAGTCTGAAATATCCTGTGTATATGCTTTTGAACGTGATCCAGAAAATGTCTTGACTTTGTTCCAAACATAGCCCAAGTCTGAATTTCTGTTTAATGACCCACAAAAATCTATAAACTTTTTTTTCTTTTTATTTTTAAGTGCCCTTTTTGTAGCCGCTATAATTTTTTTTGCCTGCAAATAGTTGATCAAATCTGGTTTGTATTTAAAATTCTGCAAAGCTAACTTTCTTCTGCTGACCAATAAGGAACATTCATCATCCCACCAAGGGTTGTTTATTTTGGAGTTATTGTTGTTAATTGTTTTATATGGAATAGCCTCCGTAGCTGAGGAGTCCAATATTTGATTAAATTTTGTATCGTCTATTTCATGTTCAGCAAGTCCTGCTGCTTTTACAATTGAGAGATCATAGAACCGATTCCAATCTGCCCTATTGAAGCTTCTTACTTGATAGGGTCTAAAATTTAAATTTCTATCCATTTCTGGCGTAGAATTGAATTCAATTAATGTGGGAAAATGGTCAGAGTTTGCGCAATCAGATAAGACACTCCATTTAGCTGTTGGGGCCAATAAGGGGTCTATGACAGTGATGTCGAGGGGATTTTGGGTATTAAGATGAAAGCTCGTGGGGGTGCCATTGCTAATTAATATATAATCTTTTTCATCCAGAAATTCAATCAATGTTTTACCATTGTGGTTTGTGGTTGAGCCGTTCCAGGGACGATGTAAGGCATTTAAATCCCCCATAAGAATGCAGGGGCCCTCCAAGTTGTCACAAATATGGTTCATATCAGCTCTGTCAAGATTAAATTGTGGTGGACAGTAAACATTAATTATATTGATATTTGCAACCTTAATAATAGTAAACTGTAAACGATCTTCTACTATGGGTGCTTTATTTTTGACTACTGAAAAGTCTATATTATTTTTTACGCAGGTGGCAATTCCACCATAACCATCAATGCGGTCTTGTCTGATGATTTTATATGAGTTCAGAATCAATGTTTGTTCAGACTTCAGCCATGTTTCGTTTAACAATATTACATTAGGGTTAACTTCCGTAATTAAATTAGTTAGGTCTCCTTTGTTTGGGAAGACGCTTTTTATATTCCATTGGAGAATTTTAAATTTTTTTAAAGTTTTTTGTTTTATTATATTGAAGACGCTAAGTTAAAGAATAGTCCATTTCCATTTGGGGACCTGAACTTATAGAGCGAATATAGTCAATCAAATGATTAACTGCATTTATGGGTAAAGTTTTTACTAATGAATCTAAGATTTGAAAGTTATTGTAAGATGCACTATAAGGCATTTGGGTGCTTGGTGACAATAAATTGGTATTTGTATTACTGTTTTGGTTCATTTGAGGTAGGTGTTGGGTATTATATTGTGATTTGTTTTTGTTATCTTGATTAGGAATACGCGAATTGGGGAACAAAAGAGCTTCGTTATGGGCGGCCCTGTCAAATCCTCCTTGAGGTTTTTTCCTATTCTGAATTGTAGATGCTACTTGGTTATATCTGGGGTTAAGTCCTTCTTTAAAATTGACATTTCTCCTCTGAGAAGGGAGAATAGCATTTGTTTCTTGGTTGTTATTAGCAGAGGTGGGAAGTTCAGGGAATTCTTGAGGGTGAGGTAAAAATTCATTTGGGGCATATGGTTTGGGGCATAATCTAGAAGCATCAAAGAAGGTTATATTCTCGAATGCTATTAATCTTTTAATGTCTCTTTGACGGTTGAATTCGGGACAAAGTTTTGACGTAGTTCTGTGTTCTTCACTTTTGCAATGTAAACATTTTGATGTGCACGAATAACTAATTGTTTGATCCTCGTTTAATATGGAATGAGTATCCTCTTCCCCACAATTGAAACATTTTTTTTGTTTTATTTTTGCACAATTTTTTTGTGTGGCCATAAAGTAAGCAATTGTAGCATTGTGTAACCGGAGCTACATAAGGTGAAACATTTTTCTTTAGCCTGTAAATGGCTATGTATTTAGGTAATATTATCCCTTTGAAGGTGATTAGAATGGTAGTGGTTGGTTCATATTCTACTTCAGTTTTAAAAGTTATACGGTACATAGATTGAATACCCTTTGTTTTTTAAGAAAATGTTTTCTGTAAATTCATTTGCCGTTCTATAGTCGTCAAACTCAATGGAAAGTCTATTCAAACCTTTATTGTTGATATTTTTAATGTTTAATTTTAAATTAAAAATTTCTTTTGCTATTTTCAGATCATTAAATTTACCGATATTATTCCCAGATTTTTCGGTTGATTCAATAAAAACTACAAACGGTCCTTTATCAGTTGGACTATAAAGTTTAGGCATTTCTTCATTTCGCTTATCGGCAGTAGAATTAGTCAAGGTCGACGAGGATGGTCCCTCATTCGTGTTTGAATTAGATTTAAAACGTTTTTCTGGAGGATCTAGACCCATTTCCTCCATATTTTATTAGTTTTTTCCCAATAAAATATAGAGGATGAAATTCAAGACAAGCCAAATGTCGACTTACCAAAGATAGAGTTGAATAAACCCAAGGAATTTAAAGAATCCCACACAAAAAATTAGTATCGTTTGCGCGGAGGGGAAAACACAGCTGCTTCGATTCACGTTCTCCACAGCACTGAACCAAAAACACAAAAGTGTAATGTAATATCAGGAAATCAAGGCTGTATTTTTTTAGTTCCTAAATGCAAAATAGTATACCTATGTTACTTTTAGCAAATAATTCATTCATTTTATTTTTGTTGAATACTAAATAAAGTTTTTATGTGTATTTTTTGCATGATCAGTGATTTTTTTCCCTTGTTTCCCTTTTTCGTAGATGTATTAAAGAATTAGTACATTGTGAGGATTCAGTACCACTGAACTAGTTCATTGAAAAGTACTAAAAATCGCATCCCTACTCGTCAGCTGTAAATATTTTCCTTTACTAGAAAATCAAATCCTGGATTTTGAAACGATAAATACAGTCATTGCAAACTCACTCCTTTGGTCAATAAATGAACATGAAACTTTAGTTGTGGAAACTAATGCATCAGAATTCTGTATAGTCGCGACTCTGAGCCAATCAGGAAAACTTGTAGCTTTTTTCTCAAGCACCTGGTCTGAATCAGAAAGAAAGCATTCATCTGCAGAAAAAGAAGCGTATGCATGTGCAGCGTTAAGAAAATGGAGACACTATCTAATGGGACTACAATTCAAACCTGTTACAGATCAGCAAGCAGTTCCGTTTACGTTTGATACTAAACATTCTAGTAAACTTGAAAATGAAAAAAATCATGAGATCGAAACTTGAACTAGCTTTGCTACAGCTATGATATCATTTATCGGCCTGGAAATAAAAACACAGTAACTGATGCATTCTCGAGAATTTCAGCAAGTTGTACAATAGACAAAATGTTCCAACTACATCAAGATTCTTCTGAATGGTTCGAACAGGTCAACCTCTTCTGTAATTATTCAAGATGATGAACTAAATCAACCTAATGCAGCGAATAACTTTTCTTATTCTGGAGCAGATGGAGCTAGAACAGAAAAATTTCAAAGACCGAAAAGGAATCGAAAATCGCCGAAGTATCTTGAATATTATCGAATGTAATACCACAAGAGGTTTCAGGATTACCGGATAATACTTTTGACTGTCACGAAACGCGTTACGCAGCAACACTACGACTCCGAAGGAGGAGTGGTGTTGCTGGTAACCCGTTGAGTGTCAGGTAAAAGTATTAGGTAATCTTGAAACATCGAGTGGTATTCAAAAGGTTATACAACGAACTAAACTTCAATACTTTATTAATTTTTATTTTTCCTGATTAAAGCCTTGAAATCCGAAGGTTTATTCATTACACCCACTGCTGACCCACTGGCTTCTTTCTTCTCACCTGGGTATTGCACAACAACTTTTAAACAACACAGCTCTGATTCGGCTTGAAGACCAATGTTTTGAACTTGTTTTTCGATAAAACACCAATGAACTGTATATTTTGTTTCCCTTTTTTGTTAAATATCAAATCCAAAATGATTAAACTCCAAAATAACTTTATTAATGTTAAGGAATTGATATATACATAATTGACGAACTCGAGAAAATATAAAGAAAATAAAAATGCAATAAAAAACAAAGCGCTGCTCTTCTTTTGACGTTCGTCTCGCTTCTGCCTTCTTAGTTTTTAACCTTCTTCTTTCGTGGAGGCACCCTCTTGGCGGTCGATAATCGCAGTTTCTCTCTTCCTTGTTCTGCGTCGTAGCATAGAGTCTTAGTAAGGGAATGTCGAGTAAAGAGAGTGAATTCTCAACAACAAGTTTGGCCTTCAAAGCATTTTGGTTTGACCTAAACTTTCTGCCAAAATGGCATGCATAGAATGCTTAGAATAGACATTCGCCAATCTTCTTCACGAAGCAGCTTGACAATTTTTTTTTTGTTCAGGTCGTACACAAATGGACCCCATGCCACCGAGATACCAACAAACGATCTCACGTAGACAGAACCATTCTTCTAGTCCAAATCGACGATAAATTTGTTCCTATAGCAGAAACTGGTGTTTACGATTTAGGTCCAGAAGTATAGCATCAGGGGAATTTAGGTAAGTCTTCATTTAACATGTCTGTCGACTGTCATATGTATATTATTGTTGGGCCTCTTTAGGATTATTTCTATTGACCGCTTTTGACGAGACTGGAAGAAAAACATGTCAAGTTTTGGATATCATTGAGCCGAGTCCGTTTTTATCAGACGACATGGTATGACTATTTGATGTGGCATTTTTAGGACACACATTTTTGTCATTTTGTTTTACATTTGCAATCAAAACATTCACATTTTCACGAATTACCTAGCCTAGGACATATCAATTTAACCAAAATGTTGGTTTTTGGTGTAATGTCCGAAAAATATGAGAATTGGGGAACAAATTTTATTAATGTTTCTTGCACTTTCAGTCTCTTTTATTTTAATATCTCAGAGTCAGATTTTCAACAAAAAAATCGTCCTTTTTTTGGATAGATTTGATACAATCCTAAAGAAATACTTGGTAAAAATAAATCTAGAACAATTTGTAGATATATTATATAAAATTTACTATAGACATGATTTTTATGTAAATATTAGTTGGTAAGGTATCAAACACTTATTAAACATTTTAACATTATAAGTCTATGCTGCCATAGATAGTGTTTTAATGTACAAAATACACACTTTTCGCTAAAGCGTCCAAAGAATTTAACAAATTGTTGAACATTATTAAGTGTAGTCATGTTTTTTCTCAGATTGTTCATATATATTGCTTCTTATACAAAAATTTTGTATGAAAACATATGCAAATTTTGTTTTATTTTAATAATATTGAAAGAAAATTTATTATTGAATAAATTCAGGAAAATATTTCTTCCAGCATAAAATAAAGCAAAAAGTTGCTTGGTTTTTATAGTGTACATCAAAGGCACATTTTTCTTTCTAGTTAGCGGCTAGCCAGATGTTGTTTATGTTTTCTACTCTTATTTCTACCATTCATTTTTTTTAATAACATTTCTGTCTTCCTTTTTAACAAAAAATGTGCTTTTGAAACTTTTGAATCACTTAAATGTTGTTACACAGTTGCCTTAACATAAAAATAGACTGATTTTTTTATATGATTTTTTATAGATTATGGTATTTTTTTTACACTATAAAATGTTCCATTGACGAATAATCTCTTTTTGAAATATTATGCACTTGTTGTGTACATACTTCACTAAACTATTATGTGGTCTTTTATACTAGATGCTGGAGCATTTTGTTTGCGATATCACAGGTACTCTTGTATAAGGACTATCCATTTTGATTTTTTCGTTAAAGCAAGACATCTTCAACAATATGAAATTTTTTAGACTTTCCTAAAATAATTATTAATATTTTTGGTAGATATGTAGTTTTAAAATATAATTTTTTATTTATGTTGTTCTTTATATATTTAACTGGGTTGTAGCACATGCCTTACTTAAAATAATTATTATATTATCTCATTCTGTGATTTTTTTTTTGTTCTGGTTAATTTATGTGGAATACATTTTGTACAAGCATATTATAAATAAAATCTTACAATTATTACTTAAGAGTTTCATTCGCTCTGAATAACTAGAATTTTCAGCTTGTTTAACAAAGCCAATGAAGGATTACTACAGGCGGTAATGGCACTTGTTGGATTTTGGCATTTTATGTTTATAGTCGGAGAGCCAGCGCCAAAAAAATGCAAGAGTTTCATGGAAGCTGACAATTTAATATAACTTTGTATTTGTGATGTAGGTATATAACTATACTCGAGTCACCAAGTGAGGAGCGGGACAAGCTACGCCCACGCACCTTCGAATGTGTTAAAAATTAATCGCGATGAAAGAGTTTCATGACAGCTGAAAATCTTCCAATCCATTGTTTATTTAATATAAAAAAAACATGACGGGCATGGTCAGATACCATTATGTTAGAACACAGGGTGTCCATTTAATACTCCGGTATTCGATTGGGGCTGGGTCATTGAGCGGATAGAAAATTTAATAGGTAGGATGTTAATGAGGTTATAGGGGCTACATTTCAAAATTAGTTAGGCTTATACAGGGTGTCCCAGAGAAGCATGGCACATAATTTGATTTTTTTTTTCACATGGAATGTCCTATATTTTTTCACCGAAATTGGAGCCTCATTGGATTCTCTTTTCAGCCCCAAATATTTGTTGCCCTCAAATGCAACGTTGCCAAGCTATTAATATTTTAGAGAATTTTTTACCGAAATCAGTATACCACTTAAATTTTAATATCTACACCACCATTTTTTATTTTTTTGTAAAAATGTATGGAAGTACTTAGCTGGGATCATTTTATCTCGCAATAGTCTAAGATTTGGGTTTTTTTTATTGAAGGTGGTCAAAATCGTTATTCAAATATTGATACCCAAAGGATCAGACTCGCAATACAAAGGGGAAACGCTGCCTCAGTTTTGGGAACCATACCAGCAGATCATGGCCTGGATGAGTTCTATTTATAATTTTTATGTATGTATACAATGTGTCCAAGATAAGGGGAGGATCTGGGAAGCGGTATGAGATACGAGGTGGCTTAAATTAGTGAAAAGTTACGCAATTTTGTGCTCATTAAAATGGCGCTTTGATATTTTAAAAGTTCCGAGTATTACTGGAGATATCCGGAAAAAACCGAAATTCGCCCAAAATGATTTTGTTTTTTCCTGACCTTATTTAAAGAGATATTTCAAAATAAATGTCACTTCATCATTGCCACTTTTTCTTCTCTACAAAATGCCACCATCAAATTTAAAATCTGACGTTTCGTCTTCTGGCCACCATCATCAACTTTATTTTTTTAAATACCGACCCCAATTTTTTATTTTAGATTTTATAGGCTTCTTATTTTTTGCCTTACATTAGATAAAAACAAAAGTTATTTTAGTAGTCACAATAAGGTAGGTACTACAACTTTATGTAATCCTCGATGAAGAAATAACTAGCAACTCACGTAAATTTGGATTTTAGATCAAGATGCACACCTGAACAAAATACATATTCCAAAATGGTTTCTCAATCCCCCAACCGAATTTGTCATTATTGACAATTAAAATCTTAAAACTTGTTGCTTTTAATAATTAAAAAAAAAAAAAATACAATAAATCCTTAATAACAATTAATTTATTTATTCATTACAAAAAAAAATATATATATAACTTAATGAACACACAATCTTTGACGCCTTTTTTTATTATACATAAAGAATATCGTAATGACTGGGACGGTAGAGCAAATGTACAGTCGGAGTGCAGCCTTCAGGGAGATCATGCTGAGTTACAATATTGCCAGTTCCTCTGTCCATATATAAAACTCTAACTCCAGTATTTAGAGCTGAGCAAGCTGCCATAATGTGAATATGGTCACTGTCCTTATACATTGGTTCAACTTCTTGATGACAGAAATCGGCTACCTAAAGAAACAGTTATTCTAATATCTATAAATTATTTTGAAATTTATTTACTGTTCTCTCTCCTTCAATAAAGCAACTATAAAAATCTTTTTCTTTTTGTAGTTGAGCACTAGTTAACAGTCTTAGGTAAACCACCATATAGTCAGAGTATCCTTGTTCATTGAACACTGTATGCAGTTCTCTTCTAGCGTCATCAACATTGTCTATGTCTGCCAAACGCTTCAATACGTCCATATACTTAAATAATACGGTAATGAATTTTTATATTATAACAAATTATTATATTACAGTGTCATAAAAATCTTCAAGAGTAAACTGTTGAAAACCAAGCTCAACCAGAACGTTTTTACTATTTTCAGCCAACTTATAAAAACTGTTGAACTCTTCCTTATTGCCCAATAGTCTCTCTAAAGTAGCATAAGTGAATGCTCTAAAGAAACAGTTACCATCTGGTCTTGTCCTTCTCATAGAGCTATACTTTGCAGCCAAGTCATTTACTTTAGCTAGGTAGATATCATCACCAGAGTATTCTGAGCTTAATGACGTTACAGGTTCTAATTCTCCAACCAAGGGAATAGATTCTGAGATCTGTAAAAGAAATTTTCATATTATAGAAAAAAACAGTATTTGCCTTGAAACTTGAATTTTTAATGGGCAAAAAATAGACAAGACAAAAGAACTTAACAATATTACCTATAAGTAGGTTTTAACTCGAGTTTTATTAAGTAAATTTAAGAAAATGGATAATGTTTTCACTCTCCTTTAATCAGTTTAATCCCCAGATTCAAGCTAATATACCTAGTTATAAATTTAAATTCCATTGTAAATGTATGAATCTCTGATAAAGCAAGACAAGGGTAGAAAAATGGGACATCATTTACCTAACAAGTATCATCTTCCTGCTGATGGTTTGGAAAATTGTATTTGTTTTTATAAAGCGAAAAAGCCGGTCCCAAGATGGTAAGGTAAGAACATGATCTTCAATAACACAACCGGTGTGAGATCTTGTTGCACCATACAACGGTTTCATACCCTCGATTTTATTTCAATGGGAAAATAGAGACTAGGAATTTTCCTGTTTACAATTCTTAGAATTTTATCGTCTGTGATGTAATTTACAGTGTGTTGTAATACTAATAATTTATTCATGTTAATTACACAGTATAGTGTTTACATACGTCATTAGAAAAATTACAAAATTGAATAGGTACCATTTAAAACACAAATTAAAGAATATTACATATTAGAATTAGTACCAATTTGGGAAGAAGTTCTTCCATACAAGATCTACAAAACTGTTACCAAGAAATTCATCCAGAGAATAGAAACATTTCTTAATTAGGTATGTTTTTACTACAAGCTTCAACTGGTTTGTAGGCAACATATTCACTGTGGGAGGCAACCTGTTAAAAAAATTAAGACCATAGAATGTTATTCCACTGCTAATCTTATTTATTCGATGGAAGTCTGTGTAAACATGAATGTTCCTTTAAGAAGGTATATCAGGCAATGAAATATACAGGGTGAGTTACTAAGCGCGCGGTGGTCCGTATCTCCTATACTAACGGAGATCGGAGAAAAAACTAAATACAAAACTTGTAGATAAACATGAGTACTACATTCCTAAATTATTTTCCAGTATACAGGGTGGCCCAATAACTAGTAGTAACACAAAGTTATGTTTTTCTAAATGAAATCCCCTGTATATTATGACATTTCTGGATTCAGCGGATAATTCTAGACATATTTCATGTATAATGTCATATACCTATCTTCAACTGTTTCTGAAATATTGACGGTTGAAAATCGACTTTTTTGCATCTTTGACAGACTTTAAAATCTAAACGGTTAATTTTAGAGGAAAACGGATTTTACATTCCTATCTTAGATTTTCATAAGCTATCATTTAACATCAACTTTGAATTTAACCGAAGAATAATAATTTAGGCGGCATTTTTAATCATGCACTAAATTCAAGATTAGTGCCAAATGATAGTTTATGAAAAACTAAGATAGGAATGTAAAATCCGTTTTCTTGTAAAATTAACCGTTCAGGTTTTTTAGCCTGTCAAAGATGCAAAAAAGACCAAGAAATAGACAATACATCATGCAGATACAGGGTGTCCCACTAAGACGGCCAGGTACGATATTATGGAGACCATAAACCTTACGTAACTTGAAAACGAATGCAGATATTGAATTGCGGTTTGCGCCAAAATGTAGATATTTTTTTGCTCTTTAAGTACAGCAATACAAAAATAATATCATGCCATTTGGATTTTTCATGAAAATTAGAAAAAACTGGATCTTGAACAAACAACGCCCTCTAGAAGAATCGGTGTAAACTATCGACCTTGAACGAAGTGGTGTTCTTAATAACAATGAAATTCTCTTCCAAATAAACCCAAATTGAATGAGTTTAAATGAGGGGTATGGAAGATACAGCAATTTCTGAAAAAAAAAATTTCACCAGCTTCCCCCACCCTTATTACTGAAGATACGAAAAAAAGCCTAATAACCAAACTGGCGCAAAAATTAATGAACTTTTGATTTCTGTTGTTAAAACAGTATTTTTCGAATAACTGGGAAACAGTCAGTATTATAGATTTATTGCTCTTTTACAATGGCCAAGCTTTCGAAGCCTTTTGCTTCTTCTTCGGGGCTATAATAATATAATATAAAATAAATAAAAAATTAATATAATATAAATTAGAAATTAAATAAAAATTTTCATAAACTTTTTTTAAAACATACCTTGTAAGTGAGTCTATCGATTTCTCTGGTTTTTTTTTAAGTTTTTTCATTTATGATATAATATAGATTTTTATAAAAAGTTTTTAATATAAATGTATAATGGAAATTATTTCAAAAAATGTAAAATATGGTATAATTTTTTTGAAAATTTAGATTTGTGTTTGATAGACTTGACAATATAATGAAGGTAATCTTTGAAGGTAATAAACCGGTATTGATTAATATAAATTAGGAATTTTTTTTATCCAGAGATAACAAATAGGAATATATTATGCTCAAATTACTAATTTCTGTTCTTTCATTGATTGAATTTTTTTGTTTTTGTATTTCCGTCATTTCCAAAAATAATCTTTTATTTAAATTCTTTTCTGTTTGTAAAATTTTGATGTTATTGTAATTAGGTCGATGTCCAGTATCAAATGAATGTTTAGCTATAGCACTTGTTTCTTTTTGCAATCGTATATCACTTTTGTGTCCAGACATTCTGTTTTTTATGGTTTGTGATGTTTGACCTATATAGATCTTATCACAGTTTGTGCAAGGTAATTCATAAACAACATTAGTTTTTAATTCTATTGGATCTTTATCTTTTATTTTTGTATTTAAATTACCAATAGTTTTTATGATTTTAAAAGAAATTTTGACAGATTCATTTTTGAAAAGATAAGCAATTTTTTCTGAAAGTGTTTTTATGTATGGTATTGAAGCATAATAAAATCTTGGTTGTTGATTATTTTGAACATTAATAGAATTATTTTGTATTATTGACTCGTTAGGTAATTGGTTATTATTATTATCATTAATAATATTGTTGTTGAAAATAATTTTATTTAATAATGCATTCGGATATGAATTTTTTAATAAAATCTGTTTTAATTTTTTAAAGTTTAATTCTTTTAATGATGGATGAACTAATTTCTCAATTCTGTTTTTAAGTGTCAAGATGAGATTAATTTTGTGTCTATAACTATGATATGAGTTAAAATTAATATATCTTCCAGAATTTGTTGCTTTAATATACCAATCCGTTATTAGAGTTTGGTTATTCCGTATAATTTTTGTATCTAAAAATGGAATACTATAGTTATTTTCAATTTCGATAGTAAATAGAGCAATAAATCTATAATACTGACTGTTTCCCAGTTATTCGAAAAATATCAATTATTAACGGTCGTGATCCATAAAATAAGTTAAAACAGTATCTTAATATAGTGATTTCTTGAGAAAAGTTGAATTTTTAGCTATATCATCGTAATTGCGCCCCCTAGCGGCCATCCTAGAAACTTGAAAATAATTTCCATCAATTTCTCTTGGCCGATTTAGTGAAGAAAAAAATAATCCCGAAGCCGTAAGGTCTATGGTTTCCATAATATCGTACCTGGCCGACCTTAGTGGGACACCTGGTATATGTTTACTTTCCGGCGATAAAATTAATCTTATCAAGTGCGGTGTGGTAGATAATAGTTAAACACAAACAATAAAAAGGTGATGAATAAATGGACAAAAAAACCTGGAATCGTAAACTGATAAGGATTAGTCTAGGGAAATAGTCGAAAAATACATGTATTGCAAAAAAAAAATTCCTACCCAAATGAACTTTTCAGGGATGATAGGGGGCGGGTGATCATAAAACCAAAAATATCAAATATTCACCCCTCTGGCGTTTTGCGCTATAGGGTCTGAAAGTGCGCCATTGGCGATTACTTGGTACCTATTGATTTTACAGAAAAATGTTTCAAATAAAAGATGTGCAACATTATTTGATCTACAATGTTTATCTAAAGGCTTTTTTGATTAAGGGCGTCTGTGGTCATAAGGGCCGTTTGAAAATTTGTAATGAAAATGAAAAATTTTAACCAACGTGAAAAATTTTCTACAACACATACAACATTTTTGCTTCATGAAGTTTTTACTCACCCCCTGCCGTTTTTCAATAGGGGTAGTTTAAAGTTTATTTATTTTCTCACAAAAAAAATTTCCTTATAAAAGTTTTATAAGATTACATTTCCTACAATTTTTCCCAATCAACTTTTTTTGTAACTCATCCCCATTCAGCGGGGGGACACTTTCCTTTGGGAAATTTTAGTTTTTAGGGGTATATATTATTTTTTTTTTCTTTTCTCGCCTTTAGTGCATATAAAAGGGTACAATTAACATTGTATTAAAAGGATTTTTTTTCCACCACCTTTTTGTTTTTAGGGGTAGTTCGCCTATTTTCAACTTAACAAAAAAAAGTTGTAGAAAAAAGTTGCTCGAAATAATAAAATGAACAAGTTTTCTTAATAATTTTTTTTTTGTTAAGTTGAAAATAGGCGAACTACCCCTAAAAACAAAAAGGTGGTGAAAAAAAAATCCTTATAATACAATGTTAATTGCAACTTTTTATATGCACCAAGGCGAGAAAGGAAAAAAAAAATTAATATACCTATACCCCTAAAAACTAAAATTTCCCCGAGGGAAGTGTCCCCCCGCTGAATGGGGGTGAGTTACAAAAAAAGTTGATGAGGAAAAATTGTAGGAAATGTCATCTTATAAAACTTTTATTGAGAAAATTTTTTTGTAAAAAAATAAAAAAACTTTAAACTACCCCCATTGAAAAACGGCAGGGGGTGAGTAAAAACTTCATAAAGCAAAAAGGTTGTATGAGTTGTAGAAAATTTTTTCACGTTGGGTAAAATTTTTCATTTTCATTATAAAATTTCAAACGGCCCTTATGACCACAGACGGCCCTTAATCAAAAAAGGCTTTAGATAAACATTGTAGATCAAATAATGTTGCACATCTTTTATTTGAAACATTTTTTTGTAAAATCAATAGGTACCAAGTAATCGCCA